TTTAATTGTGTACCAGTTTAACGTTGAATACATTTATGATTTTAACTCTAAACTTAAGTACGTGTTATTCGAAAGAGTTAAAAAATAATAACTAGTACAATTTATGTTTATTTCTGGAGGGATGTTCAGTTTATTCCAATATTATGATTTTCCGCTATAAAGAAATCTATTTACACGTTCAGTTTATTACTGCAGTGGGAACTGTTACCTAGATTCGTTGATTTAAAAGATTTATATCACAAGAATAACTACTTGCAAATAGCTTACTTGAAACGAAGCTACCACAGCTGAAATGGGTTCATACACTGCTTCTTCAGGCGACCCAGGTTCAGGACGGAATGGGGTGATTATGTAATGTAAACCCAACAAAGGAATTAGAATCAACGTAGCACGCACTGCTTTCCTAAAAATATATTTTTAAATATATTTGAAACAAAATTTTATAGTCCTACGTGTCATTTTTGTTAACTGGTAGATAATAATGAAATTTGAAAGATGTTGAGAATGAAAATATCTAACGTAACGAAAGGAAAGGACTTTAATATTCTTCAAGATAATTTTTTTTTCTTTTTCAGTTTTTTCGAAGTTTTTAAAGTTCATTATCAATTAAAGATTTTTTTTTTCTAGTTTGAAAAACGAGCTAACTATCCTCATACTTTATAAATCTAAACCTAAGTCACGATTTCATTGATAATATAAAAGGCTGGTTTTATTCTAGTAGTAAATTAATGTTTAGGTTTTGTTTTTTATTAACAGATTCTAATAGAAGTGAGAACTTTTAAAATTTTACAGTGTTGGATTTTGAAAATATTACATTAGAAAACATAATGGATCTTATCTTGTCCGGTGATTATCAGGAGAATTCAAAAGCAGAGTGTAATGGATCTTACCTTGTCCGGTGATTATCAGGAGAATTCAAAAGCAGTGTGTAATGGATCTTACCTTGTCCGGTGATTATCAGGAGAATTCAAAAGCAGAGTGTAATGGATCTTACCTTGTCTGGTGATTATCAGGAGAATTCAAAAGCAGGGTGTAATGGATCTTACCTTGTCTGGTGATTATCAGGAGAATTCAAAGTAGGGT